ATATATATATATAGCTTTAGATAAGCATCCCAAGCTGCCAAGTTTAGGAAAATCAATTATCAGGAAGGCTAGCTAGTATGACGCTATTTAATGCTATTTGTTAGGCTGTCCAGCAACAAACTTCTCCCTCAATGTGTCTTGCGTAGGCCAACATTTTGTCGTGATCAGGAATGGTTTCTTTGATGACACAGTTTTTCAAGAAATTTTGTGCCCACTGATACAGTCGAGGTGAGGTGTTTGCGTCCAGCACCCCAACGCCCATCATTTCTTCCACATTCTTGAACCAATAGGCCAGCGTTCCATAGGAGATGTCCACCAAATTAATGGTATCACCACCAAAACACTTCTTGTCCCCAAAGAGGTTTCTCTTCTATAATTTTCAGCGCTTCCAAGAATTCCTTTGTTGCTTTCTCTTGCTCCTCTACCGGTTGATGGAAAACTTGCACGGAAAACCGGACTCTACGATCATAATACAGTTTAATTATTCTTAACAATAATTTTTTTTGGAAGTTATTCTTAACAAGAAATTAATGAAGGAAAGAGAAAAATAAGGGAATAAAATGATGGGTCAATGCCTAAAGGAAGAGGGTGAAAGGGTCCAAATCACCTCTCTGCTCCAGATTGTATCCAAAATCGAGCCATGGCTCTCGTAAGGATCACCTGGGAGCAATGGATTCTCCGGCCAGGTTTCCTCGATGTATTCAGGGATGATGAGGGACTCAGCAATTGGCTCGCTGCCATGGACAAGGACAGGGATCTTCTTGTAAACAGGCTTGAACTTCAACAGTAGTTCACTCTTGTTAGAAAGGTCTTCCTCCATGTATTCATAGTCTACACCATTGATTTTCAATGCCCAAATCACTCTATGACTATAAAGACTTGCCCAGAATCCGTGTAGCTTCACTTCTGCCATTGCTTTGATGAGCTCAAGCCTCGAGGAGCAAAGTCTGTTGCCAGGCCAAAGTCTATATATACATCAATCAAATGCTTGGACGATAAGGTTCAATTTAGAAATTAATACCCATGAAAGTGAACCTTTTTTTGTTCAAGAATATTTTGATTCAAGTGTTAAGACTCTTCTCTCTGATTTACCTATGGAAACTATGATCTTATTTTTTTTAATTTTTTCACCACCAATCCCATGCTTTTTGTAGACATGTTAAAATGGGCTTGACCCAGGTTGGTTCATTTTTTATTGAAAATTAAGTGAGTTGAGATTTGAAAATTCAAATTCATATTAAAATTGGGTTTAAATGGACCAACTCATCTAATTAGTGGATTGTCCCAAGTTGATGAGGGTTAGCCCTTTGTGATAAAAGAAAAAAATTAAATTAATAATTTTATATATTTTGTTATATAAAATTAATAATTTAGTTACTAATATTATTATTTATTTTATATATTTCAATGTTTTTAACTTTTACTTGTCAAATTAATAGTTTTAGTTAAGATTGAAACTCACTATTTCTTTTTCTTTTATGGTAAAGAATATTAAAGGATAATGATTCAAATTTTGAAACATTATTCCCACCCAAATGAGATTTAAATATTTTACTTGAAAATAAAGATTAAGGATGACATAAATAAATCTTGAACTTTCTATTTATTTAGTTATATACTTATGTTTTTGAGATTATAGTTTGTGTTAAAGATTGAAACTTTATCTACCTTTGATATAATTTATTTGCTAATATATGTTTAGTGTAATTTATTTGTTTGTAACATGTTTATATTATTCAATTTATAGATTAAATCATAAAATAATTTTATTGATAAGGAGTTTGTTAGGTAAAGTTATGAAAATAATTTTTTTTAAAAAAAAATTAGTCGGTTGACCCAACTCGACTCGTAAACTAACAAGGACTGGGTTGGATCAGAGTTTTGATGGGTCATATAAAAAATGAACTAACGTAACCTAGCTCATATTTTCTCAATCCATAATATTTTGGACTGGATGATCTCACCAAATTTTTATTTTATTTGTTTCCTTCACACTCTTTTAATCAATATCAACTATTAAAGATAATGATATAGTTAAACTATACTTTATTCACCTCTATAACAAATCTTTTGGTAACCTCATATCAAAGTCACCTTGGACATCAACAATTTCTATTTCTCGCATCCCACCATATTGATATCTTTTGTCAGAACACCGGTTGTCCATGTATTGACATGTTATATATATATATATATATACACACACACACACACACACATACACACATATACATATAACATATACTTTTTTCATCTCTATGATAAATTTTTCATAACATGATATCAAAGCCCCCAAATATTAAAAATCTCTATTTCACACACCCCACCCATATTGATGTTTTCTATCACGGTGTTTATTGTTCATGTATTGACATGTTCTGTCATTGCAACTTATCTAACACATCAACTGTCATATATTCAGCCACATTATCTGTAAGTCAACTATTTATAACGTATTCTGTCACATACTTTGTCATATCTTCTATAATAGACATATAATTCAAAATAATATATACCACCAATCTATATAACTTGGGTAATGTGTTTTTAGTGGGGAAATAGCTAAGATGTACTTGAAATTTGATATGATATCTTAGGCCCTAATTTGAAGAGTTCATGATTTAATTAGTCTACAGCAAGGATATATGGAAAACATGAACTATATAATGTAGTATCAATTTCACTTTTAAGACAAAGATCATAATATTTGAAAAGTTTTTAAATTATAAAAAAAATCTAAGGTATGATATTTAAAAAAGTCTCTAAACTATTTAGTAAAATTGAAATAAGTATTTATGCTTTTATTACATTTAATTAAGTTTTTATATTTTTATTTTGAGCCAAATAAGTCTATTGTATTTTAATTTTAAGTCAAATAAACCCTTATGATTAATAATTAACTTATTTAAAATGTCACTTATCATGTTATATCGCGTGGTGCTAATGTATCATGCTAACATATCAAAATTGATAATGGAGTGACATACTGATATATCATAATAGATTATGACATTACATATTAATTTGACATAATAACATGTTCATGTGATATTTTTAACTATTTGCATCAATGTCATGTTAGTGCTATGTGGTTATAGAATGATAATGGACATTTTGACTAATAATAATTAGTTAATTATTTGTTGTAAAGACTTATTTGACAAGAAATAAAAATACAGGATTTTGATTGAATATAATAAAAGAATAAAAATTTATTTGAATTTTTTTCAATAATTTAAGAGCTTGTTTGAATATTATGTCAAAAATCAAATAAGTTTTTAATTTTTTATTTAATTATTTGATGTTTCTTATGTTGCTCATAATACTCTTCGGAGTTAAAAACTTATTATTGTATGACATGATGGAAATATGTTTTCCTCGATGGTTCCAACTTAATATTATAACTTCTCCATTGAAAAAAAAAATTCAATCAAGTCTTATATTTTTATTTATTTTTAATAAAATTTTATATTTTTATTTTAAATTAAATAAGTTACCAAACACTTTAAAAAAATTAAGAAACTAATTAGTATTAATCATTATGACATTTGTCATTTTCCTAACCGGTGCCCCAACATGTCATAATAGCAAGTAAAACCGCCACAATTATTTAGAAGAAAAAAAAAAACATTCTTTAATTTGGTTCGCCTTATGTCTCTCAAAATTTCTCTCTCTCTCTCTCTCTCTTTGTTCTAACGAAACGGAACCAGCTTAAAATTCCCAGCTTTCATGGCCTCCATTTCTTAAATTCCAAACATACCCATTTCTTTCCTGATCATCATGGACTTGTAAAATTAATCCTCCCATAAAACCAAAAAAAGTTCTGCTTTTATGCAACAGAATTCAATTATTTCATGCTTAATTAATACAACATAGCATAACTAAGCAGATTACAAATATATATATATAGCTTTAGATAATCATCCCAAGCTGCCAAGTATAGGAAAATCAATTTTCCAGAAGGCTCGCTAGTATGAAGCTTTTTTATGCTATTTGTTAGACTGTTCAGCAACAATCTTCTCCCTCAGGCCTCTCAGATAAGCCACCATTTTGTCACGATCAGGGATTGTTTCTTTGATGACAGCAACTTCCACGAAATTTTGAGCCCATTCATACAGTCGAGGTAAGGTGTTTGGTTCCAGCACCTTAACGCCGATTGCTTCTTGCATGTTCTTGAGCCAATAGGTCAGCACTCCGTAGGAGATGTCCACTAAATTAATGGTATTAGTACCGAAAAACTTCTTGTCCCCAAGAGCTTTCTCTTCTATAATTTTCAGCACTTCCAACGATTCCTTTGCTGCTTTCTCTTGCTCCTCTCCACCGGTTGATAGAAGCAATGCACGGAAAACAGGACCCTAGGATCATTGTAAAGTTTGATAATTCTTAACAAGAACATAAAAGAAAAGAATGATAGGTCAATGCCTCAATGGAGATAGTGAAAGAGTCAAAATCACCTTGTCTTCTAAGAATTGAATCCAAAATCGAGCCATGGCTCTCTCATAAGGATCACTTGGGAGCAATGGATTCTCCGGCCAGGTTTCTTCGATGTACTCAAGGATGACGGGGGACTCAGCTATTGGCTTGCCGCCATGGACAAGGACAGGGATCTTCTTGTAAACAGGATTGTACTTCAACAGCTGTTCACTCTTGTTATAAAGGTCTTCCTCTATGTATTCATAGTCCACACCTTTGATTTTCAATGCCCAAATCACTCTATGACTAAAAGGACTAGACCAGAATCCGTGTAGCTTCACTTCTGCCATTGCTATGATGAGCTCAAGATGCAAAGTTTGTTGCCAGGCCTAAATCAATATATATAATAGATCAAATGCTTGGACAATAAGTTTCAATTTAGAAATTAATAACCATGAAAGTGACCCTTCATTTGTATACCAATAGAATACCTCCTAGGTCACATGTTTTCTATGAGGAAATAGACGGGAATTTGAGGAAGTCAAGGTCAGCTTGGAATTTGATGTAATATTGTAGGCCCCAATTTGAAGAGTTGAGGATTCTGATTAATTTACAGTGTATGGAAAACATGAACTAGATAATGCAGTACTAATTTGACTGTGAAGATAAAGAATTTTGTTTTTATAATATACATTTGCTTGAAGATTTCGATATCCTGCCTCTTAGAATGAACAAAACAAAGTTCAAATGGACTATTGCCTTATTTAATTATTTCTATACCAACTGCCCCTTAATCTCAATGTTTAATAATCGACATAAACAAATGATATTTGGTAATCAAACCCGCTTTTGATTGTGCATGCCACCATGTCATGCTGGTAAGAAGGTTCTTCATGTTCCTGTTTGTCTCTTTATGATTTGTGATGTTTTAAAACTAATTCTCTACTGTGATATAAAAATCATTAATCTAGTTTTAAAAATTATTTCCAATTTTTTTAATTTTCATTTTTACTTTCTAATTGTCAATTCATGCAGATCAAAGGGCAGTTCTAGCTTGGGGAATAAGTTTGAAGTTCGAAAACAATGTCAATGAAGGCAACTTTTACTCTTTTCTAGATGTTTCTGATATAAGTTTAGACTCTTCAGCTGGTAATATTGCATTTCATATTGTAAAAGTCATATAATCCGTCACATAGTTGGATCAGATAAATTACTTAATCCAATGAATACCATGTTACGGATATGATTGCTCCATGCAATATACAATAGGCCTGCGTCATGCATGACAAGTGATCATGCTTTTAATAAAAAAAAAAAGAATCAATTTGCCCCTTTCAAACTGAGTAAAATAACAAGTTTCGAAGATTGAAGAACCCTTTTCTTAGATAACGTTGTTCAAATTGAAATTGGAAAAATGGGGAGCGTTTTCGGTACTTCTAAGTTTTAGTCTACCAAGTAGGAAGTGAGATAGAAGATGCAATCATAAAGAATGCCCCATTTGTAATTGAAATATTTCAGAAGGCTGAACATTTCAAAATGATTCAGAATAATTTAAGGCAGCAAGCCACCATAGCATTGTTGTAACCATAGCTATAACAGATAAATAATTTGAAGGTATAAACCAACATGAAAATTAAACGGAGAAGAAGTAGTTCTTCCTCACGACGTAAATGTGTAATACAAGCTTGTATTACTAGCTTATTTACTTTCAAGTGATTCTGATGAGGTGATATTATATACGACCTTTCTCTTTTTCAAGAAATTTATAGAGTACTCTGTTGTCATATGGGACATTGTCTTTGATTGCGGATTATTTACTGAAATTCCTCATTAAAGGTATTTGCTTTAATAAACTTCGTTCCAATTACCTTTTGACTATTTTCATTTTTTATGTACATAATAAGTAATAATTACAAATATCTCATTAGGTAACCATTGAGAATCGTAACAGTTTGTAATGAATGATTATTAATGGTGTAATTAGATTTGTTTTTGTAAAGCACTTGTACTTAAAAAAAAATGTTGAGAGGAAATTCTTTTTAACTATTTCAAATCTATGCTAATAAGTTTCACAAAACATCTCAATAGCAAAAGTAACTTAAGAATAATATCACTTATTTTGAAATACTTTCATTTCATTATTGTTTGTGTGATATAACTGTGTTATTCATTCTTTTTACTACCGTTGCTCTCTCCAAATGATAACATGTTTTTTATGAAATAACTTTTTACAATATGAGAAATATAAAATCTTAATAGTCAAAATCAAGTAATTTTAAAAAGCAAATCCAAAAATACAACAATTCATGAAACCTTAACCTCAGGATAACCAAATAAATCATGAGGTGATCATTATGAACTTTTACAAGTAATTCTTCCACAAAACCTAAAGCTCTTTCTTTGGAAGGTTAATTTATTAGTTTCAGCGGCCGATCAATGTCATTGTTAATTTAAGACTGTAACTACTAAAAACTCCCCATGGCATGTCAAAGAACGGCTCGGACAAGGAAACCTGTGCCATTGGCAAAAGATTAGCTGCTCAAAATGTCAAGGCAGCTTAACAAGTGATCAATACTAAAGAGAAAAGAGAAAAAAAAAATGTCCCTTCTAATGAATGATTTCTTCCCAATGAGTCTGTCATATTTTGTGCCTTTATGTTTTTGCCAGCCAGTTCTTTGCTGGGAGTGTTAAGGTTTTTGTCATGTTTCTTGTTTTTGGCTTTGCTTGATACGGTGGCCTTTTTTGCAAGCTCGTGGCTCCCAGGTGTTTTGGGATCCTTTTTGGTGCTGCTTCTGACTTCTCTATTCGGCTGGATGCTCGTGTTTCTTATGTGAAAGGATGTGTTGGTATGGCGGGGAGTGGGATGTGTTCTGGAAACTCTATCGGTGAACGTGTAATGAATCCGATGCTGTTTGGGTTGGCTCGTCTAAGATACTGTGGTTAATGCTGCCAGGAAGGCTTTTTGTTGATGATGCGATCCCCTGGGTTTTTTGTTCTGTTCTGCAAATTGCCAGATCTTGTCTCTTACTCGGGATGAACTTGATGTTTTCTGAGTTTTATCTGTCAATCAAGTCCATCTCGATTCTGTTACCGGCTGCTTTTGGACCGGGGGTCTCTTTGGTTCGATTGTTTGGACCCTGCTGTCCGTTGGACCTTCTTTTTGGTCCTCTCGCTGTTCGTTGCCACTAAGTCTCTGTTTAAAGCCTTTTCCATCCGATGATTGGTGCTGCTTTTGTTTTGAATGGTCTTCTCCCATGTTTCCTAAGGGTTTCTTTTACTGTGTAACTTCTGGTGGCGCGAGTAGGGTTGACTTCACATGAGGGGATTTTTGCTGTGGGAGTTCTTTTCTTGCTCGTTGGGTTGGGGGTATTGCTGTTTCCAATCAGATAGAATTAGTACGATTTTTGTTTTCTGGCACCTCTGGTTGTTCATGGTGCTGTGCTGCCCATTTCTCTTTGGACAGATTCTTTTTGGTACAAGTGTACAGGTTTCATCCAGCCAAGGCAACTATTATGCCATCAAGAGTCTTTAAGCAATTAAGACTAAAGACTTGAAGTGGCAGGTCGAAGGCTGGCTCAATAAAATTTCTCCGTTCAAAACTAACCAATAAAGCACTGTCATGAACTTTTGAGCGATTGGTGTTGTGTATTGTGTCAAGCAGGTGAAGTGAATTTGAAAGGGACGGTGAGCGTGAAGGTGGGTTCAGTGTTTCTCCCAGGGGGTGTGGCGATGGTTTGTGGGATGTTTTGAGGTTGTGGACTGACAGGAGGCCTCTGCTAAGGATCCACATTTTTCTCAATCATTTCAAATGCTGCTGATGCCATGCTTAATTCCTGACGATGTTGATGTTGACGCTCTTTGAAGGCTCCTGGTTTGCTGGGTTCACGATGCTCGTTGCGGACACCTTTGCGCTAGGAGTTTGCTTCACCCGATCTGTGTTCTGTGGTTTTTGAAAGATCTGAGGCTAGTGGTGCCCTGTGGATGCGTTCCCGCCACTGGTTAGGATTATGTTTAGCAGTGGCGCCATTGAACATAAGCGTCTTTTGAAATTGTACAGCACTTTTACCCACATCAGACGCTTTATGCCACTAAAGTCTTCTGCAACCATGCTTTAGACTTCTTGTGGCATAAACTGGTGATGGAAGAATAAAACCGCCTTTAATAAAAAAACAAAAAAAACAATAAAGCACTGTCCTAACTCGATAGCAAATGACACAGAGCACTAAAAAATTTCAGATCGAGCCCTTTCTGCCTAAGAAACCAGAACAAAGAAAACCTGAACAAAGGTCAGACATCAAACACAAAGATCCGACCTAAGAAGCACAAAACCAAAAGTTGTTCTGCTTTTTTACACTAGAATTCTTTTATTTGATAATTAATACAATAGAACATAACAAAGCAGATAACACACACACATATATAAGCTTATGATAACCATTACAAGCTGCCAAGTATGGTAAAATCAATTTTCCAGAAAGGGTAGCTAGTACGACGCTTTTTTATGCTATTTGTTAAGCTGTTCAGCAAGAATCTTCTCCCTGATTAGTCTTGTATAGGCCAACATTTTATCATTATCAGGAATGTTTTCTTTGATGACAGGAACTTCCATGATATTTTGAGCCCATTGATACAGACGGGGTAAGGTGTTTGGCTCCAGAACCTTAACGCCAATTACTTCTTCCACATTCTTGAACCAATAGGCCAGCGTTGCATAGGAGATGTCCACTAAATTAATGGAATCACCACCAAAAAACTTCTTATCCCCAAGAGCTTTCTCTTCTATAATTTTCAGCACTTCTGAGAATTCCTTTGCTGCTTTCTCTTGCTCCTCTCCACCGGTTGACAGAAAAAATGCACGGAAAAGCGGACTCTACGATCATTGTAAAGTTTGATAATTGTTAACAAGAACATTAAAGAAAAGAATGATAGGTCAACGCCTCAATGGAGATAGTGAAAGAATGAAAATCACCTGGTCTGCTCCATATTGAATCCAAAACCGAGCCTTGGCTCTCTCATAGGGATCACTTGGGAGCAATGGATTATCCGGCCAGGTTTCTTCGATGTACTCAAGGATGATGAGGGACTCTGCAATTGGCTTGCCGCCATGAACAAGGACAGGGATCTTCTTGTAAACAGGATTGTACTTCAACAGCAGTTCACTCTTGTTAGAAAGGTCTTCCTCTATGTATTCATAGTCTACACCTTTGATTTTCAATGCCCAAATCACTCTATGACTAAAAGGACTAGCCCAGAATCCATGTAGCTTTACTGCTGCCATTGCTTTGATGAGCTCAAGATGCAAGGTTTGTTGCCTGGCCAAAGTCCATATAATGGATCACATGCTTGGACAATAAGTTCCAATTTTGAAAATCATACCCATGAAAGTGACCCTTCATTTGTTTAAAGGTATTTTGGGTTTAGTGTTTGACTCGTCTATCTCATTGACCTTTGAAAATCACGTGCTTGTTCTTTTGATCTTCTTCACCACCAACCCCATGCCATCTGGTCTCACCGAATTTCTTATTTTATTACTTCTTTTTCTGCCCTTTTTGCCTCTATCCAGGAAAGAATAAAAAAAAGCCTAATGGTCTGATTGCGGCTAGCATATGTATAATAGACTTTTAATCAAAATAATGTATACCAACATGTTTTCTATGGGGAAATAGCTGAAAATTTGAGGAACTCTGGGTTTGCTTAAAATTTGATATAATGTTTTAGACCGTAATTTTCTTATTAGTTTACAGAGATGATGATATATGGAAAACATGATCTCGACAATGCAGTATTAATTTCACTCTGAAGAAAAAGATAATAGTTTTTATCACTATATTCACATGAATATTTCAATATCCTGGAAGAAAGTTGAATGGACTATTATCTTTTTTATTTATAAATATTTCAACAGCCATTTAATCTTCATACTTAATGAGCAACAAGCAACAATTGACATCAGCAATCACCCCGCTTCTTATTGTGGTTCCTTTGATTTTTTTTTTTAAATTCACATTGAACTTGAATAAATTGGGGGTTAAGTAGCTCTTCCATCTCATATATCTAAAAAGATTTAAATCCAAGATGAAAACTTCATGTTCTAACTTTGGTTGCATATATACTTCGTAAGTACAACTCACCTTGATTTAACATAATAAGAACAATTATCTTAATGCAGAATTGCCATTTATGCAGTGGCTAGAAATTTTTCCCTAACTCGCCCCATATGGGATATCAGTTTTGCTTGATCTGGAGTATTTTCTCTGATTACAGGAGCATCCTTAAAATTCTTAACCCATTCACTCAATCGAAATAAGGTTACAGCAAATTTAAATCTGGGATGTGTGAAGACACAGTTAATTAATTACATGCTCTCCTGACCCAAAACCGAGTTATTGCTCTCTCACAAGCATCCTGTGGCAGTAAAGGATGCTGTGGCCATGTTTCTTCTATATATTCAAGAATAATAAGGGACTCAGCGATCGACTTGTCATCACCATTAACGAGGAAAGGGACTTTGTTTTAGACTGGATTGTGCTTTAACACCGGCTCACTCTTGTTAGCAAGGTCCTCTTCTATGTACTCATAGTCGTCTACGCCTTTCAGTTTCAATGTCCAGATCACTCGGTGACTAAAATAATTAATTTTTTCAATGTCCACAAAACATCGCGGAAAGTAAGAGTAAAAAATATGACCGTTTTGGATTGTTTCCTCCTCTTTCAAACCCAACAAAAGAGTCATAGTATTCCTAGAAGGAATTTATTATTTTTACTATTAAAACCAATTCATTGTAATCTAAGTTGTATTTTTTTTACTTTGCATTTACGATTAAAATTAATTATTATGATCAAATCTAGATCAAATGTAACACTAATCAAACTTTAAACCCCAAGCATAATACTCTAACAAACGACACTGATTCAAACCTAAACCATTTTTAATTCTAAACTTTAGTTTATTTATAGATAGTGAAAAAAAGGCATATAATAACTAAAAATGATTTCAAAAGAAAAATGAAATAACAAGGGTGACGACAGATACAAGCATTATTATTCTTAAACTAATAAAAGCCAGCTTAACCAACATGAAAATTAAACAGAGAACAGATTAAAGGAGTTGTCCCTCACAACATAAGTGTAGTACAAACTGCTATTAGTAGCTAATTTATTTTCGTGTGATTATGATGAGGTGATGTTTTTTATAATGCTCTTCTGTTTTTCAAGAAATCTACTACTCTGCTGTGATCAGGGACATTGTCTTTGATTACAGGTTCTTCACTGAAATTCTTCATCCATGCATGCAGGCGAGGGAAGGTATCGGCTTTGATAAGTTTGATTCCAACTACCTCTTCCGCAGGCACCAACGCATGAATAACCCATCCGAAGATAAGATCAGCTAGTCCAATTTTGTCACCACCAAAAAACTTCTTGTCTCCAAGCCCATGCTCTTCTATTGTTTTCAAAATTTCAAGGTTGTTGTTGATCGCCTTTTCCTGGTCTTCCCCGAATTTATGAAAGAATTCCCACATAGTTCGAATCTGCAAAAGTATAATCATAAGGTTGATTAGGATCAAATATCAATCCTGGATTGAAACAGGCATGAACCTACTCTTGAAAATGAAATAGAATAAAAGCATTTGTGATTGAAAAAAATAGTAAGATCAATTAAAGCCTGAGGACAAGAATGATGAAGCATTTAGGAGTTGAGTTATGATTGTTATGAGATAGAGTAGCAACTCTTTTAACTAAACTGCTCGGTTCTGACTATTTTTGAAGAACAAAATCCGGATAACATATACCTTTTCATCTATGAATTTGGCCCAAAACCGGGCGACAGATCTCTCATGAACATCTTTTGGAAGCAGGGGATTCTGTGGCCACACCTCATCAATGTATTCAAGAATAACCAATGACTCTGCAATTGGTTTTCCTCCGTGAACAAGCACTGGAATCTTCTTGTGAACGGGATTGTACTGTAGCAGCAAGTGGCTCTTATTGGGGATATTTTCCTCTATGTATTCATAATTCACACCCTTGAGCTTTAGAGCCCAAATGACCCTTCGGCTAAAAGGACTTGGCCAAAATCCAAAGAGCTTCACCTCATCCATGCTGTGATCTCTACTTTGTGTTGGTGGCCTTTATATAATTGCTGGAGTGGTGACAGTGAATGATCCTCAGTTTTCCTCATACAAAGTAGTAATGTACAAATTATATACTGTAGATCAGGTAAATTATCTAATCATGTGCGTCACGAGTGATGTATCTGAATAACTGTGCTTGCTGCAAAAAATTTGAAAAGTTGTGTTCTAGAATGTGTTATGAAATTATTTCACTATTTTTTATTTGTATTAATTATTAAATTAAAAATTATTTTAGAGAGGTCATTAAGAAAATTTATAAAAAAAATTTAAAAAAATTTATATAATATGTAATTTTTTTTTAATTTTGGAGGGACCATCCTATGGGGAGCCTCTGCCCCTGAAAATATGGATGTCAATAAGATAAAAAAAAAATGGAATATTTTTTTATGTTTTTTAACATAAGAAGTCCAATATCCTACTGTATTTTACAATATTAGCTAGCACACTACAGTATCATATGCATCTAATCTAATCAAAGAAATCTGAAAGCTTAAACAATGAAAAATCATATGCACCAGTGAATTGATATTGTGTAAAAAAATTGACATCCGATCATTAGATCACTTTTGGAGTAGTAGAATTTGTTTGTGGTTAATGTAATTAAATTGTGAGTGGTGCTTGTAGTATAGATTAGGTATCATCAGAGATTCATTTAGATACGGTCCATTAGAGAATATCATTATTATGGTATAAGGTTTTTGTCATGATTTTGTATGTAAAGACTAAAGTCATGATTATGGAAAGAAAGTCTATGAGAGTATGTGTTTTGAACTATTGGAACTTGTGTTATTAAAAAAATTTGATGTGTTATAAATGCATTTAATATAATTTCGTATTGTGATAAGACCAATTAATAATTATAAGTTTTATATTGGAAATCTTGACTATGATTTCAACTTTAAAGAATATAAGAAAATCTGAGAGATTAAGTAATGCTTTTGATTGGTGGTCTTATATTTGCTTTTGACGCAAATTTGATTAGTTGGAGTTTGCATTGGTCGATATTCTGTATAAAACTATTTTTCTTATGGTACATAGCTTGGGATTTGATTTTGGAGTTGATGATGATATATTTTACTAAGAAAAATTTCGAATACTTTGATACCTATTAAGTTTTGTGGAGCATTTAATTGTAATATAATAATTGGTCTTTGAAATCGAAAGAAAATAATATACAAATTTTAGAGATGGCTTAGACAGTGAACGATTATGTTTGAATTTGCAGGGAAAAAAAAAGGAGAAAAACTTATCAATTTGACATAGTACATTGGTTTGATGTTTGTCATTGGTTCATGATGGTTAAGTTAATAAGGAGTATTTTTTAAAACTTATGAATGCAATGTATTACATCAACATGATCTTATCACAGTTTAGCAATGGTTAAGTCGTTGAAAAGTACTTTGCTAGCTAATTGAAGGGAAATGAAATTAATATGCGATATTTTGAGGTGACTAGGGATTCCTTAATGTTGTTAGTCATACTTGAGGTGGTATGTGGTTCTAATTATTGGATATGAATTGAGAAATTTTTTTTTTGGAGAGATTCTTAGACTTGTGACTATAGTTGTGTAAGATAATGTTAGGAAAATATATATGCTATTCTAAGGTTATATTGAATGAAATATTAGAGTGCGCAATGGAAGCATGATTTGGTAAAAATAAGGATTATTTTTAACTTAGCAAATGATGGATCTACAATACCAATGGATATCGCTTGATTAATTTGTGTCCTAATGGTGTATGATTATTGATTTTGATACCGAAGATAGTTGGAGAACGAAAATGAGTTAGGATATTATGAAGTTGTATTGTGTTGATCTCATTAGTAAGGAAGATTGATTGAATGAAGTGGAATTGCACAAAAGTTATGTTGCAATGACAAGGTTGAGATTTATGTGTTTGCATACTTCTGAGATTATGGAGCTTTACAAGGAGTTTGATCTTTTGTGATTGCATCTTGCTTTGGACAAGAATTGAGATTTCAAATTTTAGGATGTTTGATTAGTTAACTATATAAGATTTGGATTTATATTGAATTGTTAGTGGTTTCATGATTATCTGAAGTTTTATGAGATGTTGTTAGATTGCAAAGATCAACTCTATTAGAGGAAGATTGAATGTTACATTTAATCAAGAGTTAAACAAGACCTGAACCTTATGGAATTTTGAATTTAGAGACCAAATTCTTTAA